GGCAATAACTGCCAACTGCTATCGAATTTCAATTCAGGGAAGCACTATGACATTCTAAATTTACTGGTAACTTAACTCCATGCCTCCAACTTCTGAGCTCTGTGCAGTTCTCTTATTCTTGGTTGTGCTGTATGTATCCCTTTTCCCAACGTAGCTCTACTGGGGAAGACAACAGATCTGTTTTCTGACTTGTAGGTAAGTTTGTTCCTGTGAAATGGTGACAAAGAAACTGAACCAGTTGGTCCACACTGACAAACTATATCCAAATTATTTTTACCCAAATAGGGGTTGATTTGCTATGCTCGAGAAAAATTACAGCAAACATCTGGAAAAGAACTACATCTTATAGATTATAACTGAATGAAATAATGCAGGAAATACATTTTCATAGATGAAGTGAGTAATAATGTTAGTAGGTATTAGAGTAAAACTGTGTTGTTGATATACTTTGACTAAAGGTAAGATGTTAGTACTTATTAAATTTCTATTTCTGTTTTTCTATTCTAGGTATTTTGGATTCAAAAGAAATAGCTGAAAATAGTTAGAATACCTTCTGGTTATTTTTTTCCTGTTTGGCAGATCATACTATGCATTCAAGCTGCAAGATACGTTAGGACTGTAGTATTTTATTGACTCTTATTTGCATGTTTTATAAAACACTTGTGTTCAAAGAATCATAGACATCAAATATGGAAAAGATTTATAAGTTAACCCTCATGTCAGTATGTATTTGTTTTCTGTAGTAATTAGAGTACAATCTCACTTTACTAATCAAAAGACAATCAAATGCAAGGCTGTTAACAGCTGAGAAGTTACTGATGCAAGTATGGTATAGATATCTGAATACCTTCATTCTTATTTTGTCTTCTGACAAATATCACATACATTCAAAAAATCTACAGCAGACCTAAGGAACAGCAAAGTACACTGGCAACTATGACCTAACAGTCTCACTGTCCATTTTTATCTTTTTTTCCCTAATTTAATTCTAGTCCATTATTTCTATTTACATCCTTTGGTGCTCACATGTCGTCCAAGTCTCTGATATGTGTATACTTTGCAAGTACAAATGTTAACCATATAGCTCTACTGTATGGGAATAACTTTATGTACTGGCCTCTACTCTTGATTTCCAACATAGTTACAAGCTTCTGTTTATTTGCATTCTGAGAGATGTGCACCTGTCTTCCAATGGGGTTCACAAGGTATATCTAAAAGAATTACTTGATAACAACTCTTTAGAATCCTTCACTTTAATGAATCCTGCAAAATTAACAGAATGAAAGCAAGATTTACACAGATTTACTGGATGGAAGTAAAAAAATACGAAATACCCAAGTGAGATCTCTCATCTGTTCAGGGAGAGAAACAGAAAGATAATCTGTCATCTTTGTCTCTACTTCACATGATGGTCTATCTCTAAGCAGATAGACCATCTATCTTTCATGTTTGATCAGTTCTATTGTCTCATATATCAGATGATTTCTGTGTTCATGAGTCTTATAATTTTTAATGACATCATAAATATGTTTGTCTTGGCCCCAAGGACTGTAATTATGAAAAAGAATTTGGTGAGAGGAATTGAGGTGCCTGAGCATTAAACAGACAGAAACTTAAATATAGTAAGGAACATGCAGATTCTGTCTTTTACACACAGTGCAAATTAGACAAGCTTTAAGCCTTTTTGTGCTCTTATTCAGTCAAGATTAGGGAAAACTAATCTTTAACTTCTAAGAAATTTAAGTTACACTCAAAAGCAATTAAATTAAACAAAAAAAAAAAAAAAAAAAAAAAAAAAAAAAAAAAAAAAAAGAACAACAAAACCACCCCAACAACAAATGCAGAGGGAGAGGGGAGAGAGACACAAAAATCCCCCAAAAGATAAGAAAATGAAATTTCAGATTTTACATATCCCAAATGTATGGGAACAACGCATGCTTAAAGTCTTTATTTAAAATGTACACAAGCATTGTGAATATTTGGTGTGAAGACTGAAAGATTCAGCACAGCAGAAACAGCCTCAATTCAAATAAGATGTTGATTTCACAGGGTTGTTTTTTTGCTTCCTCTCAAGAGAACGATGCCAAACATGAGTGGAGACAGCCCAGTTCTTCCGAAGCATTTTAAAATGCAAAGAGTAGGTTTCTGCCCAGAGGAACACAGGAAACAGTAACATTGGTTTTCATCTTTGTGGTTTACACTGATACGTTACTAGACTGTTGAGTTAAAGAAAGTTGTGTTCTTTTAGTCAAGTGATCAAACATGGAAGACAGCTCACAATCATCTGCTTAGAGATACTGCATCTTGTAAATGTGACTTTTCTATGGACTATGAATGCAGACCACACATTGCAGCTCAAGCTTGGATAAGACTCAGCGAATGTAAATGAGGAAACTGGGTCCAAGAGCTTCGTTTTCATTCTCTTAAATGCAACAACAGGCCTTGCAGAAGGATCAGGACAGATTGGAGCACAGGGCAGTCATCAATGGTGTGAAATTTAACAAGAACAAATGCTGGATTCTGCATCTGGGATGGAGTAATGCTGGGCACAAGTAGAAACTGGAGAGGTGTTGCTGGAAAGCAGACCTGCAGAGAGGGACCTGGGGGTGCTGGTTGACCGTAGGGTCAAGAGCTGTGTTGTACTGAGAGACAATGCTGCCTCACCTCACATACTGTGCGCACTTCTGGGTCTGATGGTCTAAGAAGGATGTCAAGGTCCCTGAATGTGCCCAGAGGAGGGCAACAAAGCTGGTGGAAGGGCTGGGAGGCATGTCCTGTGAGGAGCAGCCAAAGGACACTTGGACTGTCTAGTTAGGAGAAAAGGAGGCTGAGGGAGGACCCCATTACTCTCTGCAGCTTCCTGAGGAGGGAAAGTGGTGAGGGAGATGCTGGACTTGGTGAGGGAGATGCTGGACTCTTCTCCCTGGTATTCAGTGACAGAACCCCTGGGAATGGTTCAAATTTTCACTCAGAAAAAAAAAGGTCAAGAAATACTGGGAAATCCTCATGAATGGGAAAACCACACAAACTTAAGGAAGGGCTTAAGGACAGGTGGTAGGCTGAAAATTATGTCATTTTTGAAAGATGCCAAGCTGGAAACCAGAGGAACACAAATCTCAGATGTATGTTTTGTGGAGAGAAGAAAAAGGACGAAAGGAGAGTGGGGGAAAAATACAGTTACTAAAACTTCCAGCTGTAGAAATATTTTCCTGAAGCACCATGCTGAGAAAATACATAGATTTCCCTGTAGCAAGAAGATGTGCAACCATACGAAATCTACATTTATCCCTGAAAAAAACATAAAAGCAAAACAATTCATTACAGTTTAATTTCAATAGAAAGAGACCTAATGCAGTGAGGGAGCTGGTTCTTTGCATGACGACTCACTGTGGAAAGCAAAGGACTGAAACATGAATGGGTCCATGGATAGGGTGCTGCAAAAAACCACCTGGGCCTGAGGCTCCCATTCTGCAGCAGCCGTTTATCCACTGCACACCACAGAAAAGGGCTGTGCTTGTAAGCACAAAGAATGGGAATGAAGGAGAGGAATAATGTAACAGACGTACAACATGCTAGTCACAAGCATTGTTTTTGGATACCCACCTTTCCTCCTATGGGTACTCCTGCATCACCCTTGTTTGGAAGCAGTTTCAAGCTCTTCTGATGGCAACGAGCTGCAAATTTCTGGTCTACCAATGTGTCATTTTCGCAAGCCAAGATGGCTCATGACGAAGTCAGACGAGCACTAGAGACACCAGAGGTGTGCCTTCCTCCTTAACTCATTTAGCCCAGCGCACGGGATCACACTTCACTCTGGGCTATGTGATTCCATGCCAGGAATCCAAAATGTGGATGATGTATGTCAAAATGCCTACTTTTCTTTTTCTCTGAGAAACAGATTATCATCCACTGATTTCTTCTCATTCCTTCTATAAGGCAATTTGCACATTGTTTTTAATAAATTTAATAAATATGCATGCACTTTAATAATGTAAATATTATACTGTTAAAAAGTAATTTGTCATACCGTAATTTTCCTTTAGGCAACACCATGCTTTTGTCTGTGTAATTACTCTGAATAGAGCTATATATTCCTTTGTTAATGCAATTCACTGAGTCATGACCAGATCCCTTTAGCAACACAGGGGGAAATGCATCTGTTGTGTCATCTGACACAATCATTATGCTTAGATGGGAAATAATTTACACTGTGAACTAATGAGTTTGAAAGCTCAGTTTCACTACTCAGTAACTATCACTTCAAAGCTTTACAAAATCTGAACTATGCACAGTCTCATGGTCTTCAATAAAAACCAAGGAGCTCAAAGCAAAAGCCTCGCTGTCCGTGCCTGACTAATGCTGTTGAGTTCCAGTAAGAGTATGCATAGGCAAAAATATCTGCCAGACTGCAGCAAAAATTTAGAAGTGATTTTCAAAATTAATGAATTCAATATGATTAATTTGGTTATATTAAGAATTTTATTAAAAAACACAACATTCTAAGAAAAACTCCATTTATATCTATAATACATTAAAAAATAATTAACATCCACATATAAGATATGCAAACATTAACAGATTTTGAGAGTGGTGACAAACTTCCCAAGAAGGGGGTGGAAAGTGGTAACTCTTCCAAGAAATATTTTTTAAACTGTGACTTTCACTGTGTTAAGATATCACATTCTATAACTGACATAGTGCTGTGTAGACTATTTTAATGCCAAGAGTTTAGCTATCAGAGAATTAAAATTACCACAAACCCATGCCTCAGAATATAATACATGAAAGAGCTGGTGACCCAGATGTCACCTTGATTAAATATTATTATTATTATACAGTAGCACTTAAGGATGCCTAGCATTTTGCAGAATAAAAAATCATAAGACACATACATAAATAGCAGTCCTCCAACATAGATGATGCCATGAAGCTTTCGCTTATTTATAAGCAAAACACTTTCCAAAGTCCTTTCTATCACATGCCACCTTGTCACTGACCACTTAACTGCTGGCAGCACTGGGATGCAGTGGTTTGACTCTTGCTAGTCTGGAGAGACCAAGTCTAAGACACTGAGTAGGTGACTTAAGAGGAACATGTTTCATAAAGTTATTACTGCTTCCTGATGCAGCTGAAAAACAAATAAAACAAGAAGCTTAAGAGATTTGGGAGGGGGAGATATTATATGACTGTTGTCTTTTAATAGTTGTCACAGTAGAACAAAAAAGTATTCTAAAGATACTGCAAAAAGGTCTGGGAATCAATCTATTTTGGAGCCAATGCAGCAGGTATGGTGTGTACAATTTTAACTAACCAGCAGCACACTGGAGCACCACTGGACAAGAAAATACTGTTTCCAGTGTACTGTGCATTTTCAGGTGCTCCACAGAGAATCTCACAACTGAACACAATTCCAAGTGGGACAAAAAAAAAAGACTTGAGAGAAAGGAGCCAAACAGAAAGAAACATGTACAGGAAAGAAGAGCAAGTATGAAGGAAAATCAAAGTAAGAGGCAGGAGTCATCAGGAGCATGCTCAAACACCTTAAGAAAATAAAGCATTTGCTTTGGTACAGCAGTTAAAACACTCCAACGTTTTTGTAGTAGTATTTGTTTAGAACAGGTAAGAATGCAGCACATACCAGAGATAAAGAAAGCTCTTACTAAGAGAGAAATGGCCACAAAACAATCCTTGATTAAGATTTGATACACACTCTGGATAACATTTAATTAACCTCCCCACATAAAGGAGTTAAGAATAATGCTGTAAGAGGAAAAAGCAGCACGGAGATAGCCTTTTTTTTTTTCTTTTCTTTTAAATCTAAGGTCAAAAGAATAACTTTCATTGTAAGAGGTCAGTCATTTTTCTGAAATACTGTTTGTTTGCTTGCTTTTAGAAGAGATTGCTAAAAACTTGAGTCAACTAATCTATCTGTTTATAATTACAATCTTTAAGGTACCTGGTGGTATCCATTTAGGCTTCTTATCTGTTACAGGACTTGATGTATGTAGAGGCCTTCCAACTGGGCCTGAAGAACTGGACATGATCTTTTGTGTTGGCTCAGATTTTTGTTCTGTTTTCCCAAAGGGAGAAACTACAGGTGATACTTAGTTGGAAATAAAAAAAAAAACAATCTGAGAACAATACTCTTTAGCAGAGAAATCATCACACTGCATAAGACGATTGATCATTGCGCAGCACAAGCTCTCTGTATTGAGTGAAATAACGTTACTAGATTGTCACATCTTTATCAGTATATATTTATAAAGTCAGTCCTGTTATACTCTAGAATTTCAAACCTGGTTTAAAAATAAGCAGTATAACAACTTCTTCTTGAAGACCTGCCAAATACTGGATTTCTAAGAGGGAAAGTTCTTCTGCCCAAACCATTCCCTTTACAAGTAATTTTAAACTAAATTACATGTTTTAAATTTAGCCCTGAAACTAAAACACTTTACCAAGTCAGACACAAAATTAACACCATGATAAGTATTTTCTTAAGCTATTTAATATAAATTGCATTAGTGACACAGTGAACAATTAACTTTGAAGGGCATGACTATCTACTGGTTTTCACCAAGTGGATAGTAGAACGAGCTTTGTTAGCTATCCTGGAATTAAAAATTCATAAATGCAACTGCAAGAGAAGGATCTGAGATTATAATTGAAAAAAATAATAATCTTCAGATCACTCATTACTTAACCTTTTCTTAAAAGCTAGATATAGTTACATAAATAGAAATGAACTGCCTATTCTCTTTTGTCTGCTTTTCTTTGTAAGAAGTGTTAGTTTACTATAGTGTTTTCTTTCAGGATTTTTTTCTACTCTCTTCCTTTTACTCTGCATATAGTCCTTCATTTTCATCATAACCCTGCACAGTCAGTCTGTCAGCCAAAGCTACCTATTCCTTCAGTGAAAATAAAAGGGACGCTCACTATAAAAAAGGCTATTTCAAATTCATCGCACAAACTTACCTGTAGTATTAATCTTGGATTTGGGAGTTTTCTTCTCTCTTTCAGCTGGCATCTTTTGTCTGGTTTTCTTTTTATTTCCTTTGGCTTTCTTTTTTTCCATTGCAAAGTCTTCATCATCACCTTCACTATAATCTGAATCTTCTTCTGACTCCTCCTCACCTACAAGGAAAAGGGATGTCATCTCTTTACATGAAATACGATCTACTATTACTCCAGGGCCTTCTAATCATACTCTGGACATAAAACCCAGAGTACCTTAGAGATACAGTAAACCAAATTTGCACATATTTATATGCTGAACTGAGAAAGAAATAGCCTCCATAAACCACCATGTATTTACAGAATTCTTGCTCTGTACTTTAATAATGGAACATCCTGTTATAAACTGCATACAATAACGATTTAACAGCAGAATTACCAATATTCCATGTGTGCAGGATGAAAATGTTAAAATTATTTGGCAGGGCTTCTGATTTTTGCATATTCTTAGTCATGACTAAAGTGGAAAAACACTATGTCTAATTTCAGCTGCAAGAAAGATTTTATAGATTCATTATTTAAAAAAAATACATTAGCAAATCTTAAAAATACTTTTCTATCAACAGGAGTATCTGGATGATTTCCCTGATCTTTTATTTCACTGGCAATTCTGGAAATACACTGCAATAAACCTTGCAGTAAGGACTAAAAGAATGGATAGACACACTAAACATTGGGGAATGAGAGGTGACTATCGTACTCTGCAGGCATTCAATACTAGGCTGCTACCAGAAGCAGAGCATGATGCTACCCTGAACTCCAGTCAGATGCAGCATTGTCTTCCAAGAGCTGAGAACTGAAGCAAGGAAAGAAGTTTAAACAAAGCAAATACTAGGAGCACTAACACCAGATACTACTCCAGAATTACCGTTCTGATGCAAACCCCAGACAAGAACAGGAAAAATCAACAGAGGCTCTTTAAAGAGATGAAACCTTCCTGGACAAAGATGACAGAAGAAATTTGTTCTGACATACTTCAGTAAATGCAGAGACATAGTGTAACTTATGCCAGTTTGGCGAATGTGTATGAACAAGCTCCAACGTTTAGATTTAATGCCAAAGTGCAATTAAGATGACACTGGTATGAAAAGACAATGCTTCAGTTAGGGGTCAAGGGGGAAGATACAAGAGAAGCAGCATGCACTTCACTGAAAATATTAACTACATTTAAGGCACCATGTTTAAAACACATCTAAGGGTTTTTATAGAGGAGACCTTACTGGGTACACACTCTGGCTCAGAGTCAGTAGAGTGCTCTCTGTCATCACTGTCAACGGCCAATAACTTCTTTGGATGTGCAGGAACTTCAGATGTTGCTGTCCTGTGCATACCATCAGCCCTAGGTACATCATCATCCATAACTTGACTGGGGCCTAGAAAGCAGAATTCAGTCTAATTAATTCAAAATCACAGTAAAACTATTATTCTTCTCAAAAAGAAGCAGGTATTTATAGAAATTTATTCTTGTGATTTTGAAGAATGCTATATGGAAGTGTATCATTGGCACTTGTTTTCACGTGATTTTCATTTTACTCTCTTAACTGACCAAACTGTAAATTCTGGTTGTGAAAGTTATCTGTAATCCAGCTAACAAAACGACAGGAGACCAAAAATAAACTGGAAAAATTAAAAAAGTTTCCAATGGCACAGCAAATGTTCTGGTTATGTTTAGCTGATGCTTAGCTCATATGGACCCATTCAGGAGTTGAGGGCAAGTGCAGCTCCTTGAAGTGAATAAACTCAGCACCTAAAGCTATCAAACGTCTGTTTCTTTTTCCAGCAAACTTTTAGTGATCTGTAACAATCTCATTCAGCAATCCACAGGTTTTCCCATTTTAAGATTAGGACCAAATTTTTAAAGAAAAAGTTGCTGCAGCCTTCAGTCTATATTTAAGATAAAGACTCTTTTTTTCCATATAGGTGAAAACCAGAAACCAATGGAAACAAGAAGAGATTAAAATACTTAAATATATCTTGAAATTTTGCATCTAAAAAGACAGAGTATGAGAACAGCTTACCTAAAAGTTCACTGTCTACACTGCAGTTGGAAAAAAGGGGTCTCCTTTGTACATTTTCTGATTCAAAATCCTTACCTGCTTTAGGATCCAGAAAACAAACAAAAAAGAATATAAAACATAAATACACAAAAAACATTGTAAAAGGTTAAGATACTACGAAATAAAATAGGTAACATTTCTGTCTCTAATCAAACTGTATGTTTGGAAGATCTTACAGAAAAGTTATTTTTCACACCAAAAAAAAACCATCCAACCAACCAAAACCAAACAAACCCATACTAAAAAAAACCCAAGCCAACTAACCCAAACAAAAAACCAAACCCCAAAACGTAAGAAGAGAGACTACCTAGAAATTCTTATTTCCTAAACATGTTATCTTGAAATAAAACATGACTTTCAACCTACTTCACTGTACAAAAAATTGTCATGTTGAAATTTACTATACATAAATAGTGTTGCATTGAACTGTAAAATAACCTTGTTCTGAATTTTGCACCTCAGGGATATTTGCAGACTTTTCCTTGACGGATAAGGCTAAGGCAACTTCCAAATCTCTTTGATAAAGTTTGTCATCCAAAGATATCCTGCAACAAAAAAACAAACCCCTAAACATGCTAAGTAAGAAAACAATGGCATGACTGTTATAGATCTATTTCTGATTCACTGAACTTTGTAAAATTCAAATACTTGCAAAGATACTAATATTTCAATATGTACAACATATTATGAATATTACTTCCTTAAATGATTTAGACAAAGTATACTCTAATATTTAAAGCACACTATACATAAAGGTATTATGATTGCAAAACATTGTATATGTATATGTATGTGTGTGTGTGTATATATATATATATATAAAAACTAATAACTGGTATTATCAGAGAAACACTTATGTTTGCTTGAAATACCACACCGAATGCAATATTTATATACAACTTTACTACCAAAATAATCAGATTTCTGTCATTGACAATGACTTTCTATTTTGTATCAAGCTTTAAATATGTTCTCTTTTAAAGAGTCAGTTTTTAAGTGTCTTTATATTTCTCAGTTTTAGGAGTCCTTAAGGAGCTCAGAAACATTACATGCACTGTAGAGATACCTAAACAAGATCAAGACATGCAAACCTGTTTCTGCCCCTAAGCAGGCTGCTTGCTGGAGCTTTTTAGAGCCATAACAAAACAGACACAGCTCACTAATGAACTTGGGCAACTTTTCCCAACTCTGTGCATAATTACATTATCCCTGATTTGCAACTATACCGATAAAGCTGAAAATCATTATTATGCTAATAATATGCTATTGTGTGTTTTCAGCTGCTTAAAACTCGGGGAGGGGGGGCTGGGAGGGGAATGGGATGCGACATGACACCAAACTATTACTGAAATCCACCTTTACACAGAGTTGACCACATTTCAATGTTTCTCACCTTTTATTAGGTGTCTGCTTTGGTGGTGGAGTCAGTTCTTTCTGTGGTTTTTTCTGCTTCTCTTTTTTCTCCTTCTTTGGTTCCTTGAGCTGTGTTCTGGATTTTTTGCTTGAAGGTGCAGCTACACATGCAAAGTCTTCATCTGTTTGGCAAACAGCAACAAGCTTTAATGAGTCTTCTTATATTCTTCTGTATGGCCAGAAGTCGTTCGAGTTAATTTCATCATAGACCGAAAATATACTAAAGGTAACCTTTTTGAAATTAATTCTATTTTTAAAGGATACAAGTGTAACTGTAGGATTTTTACTTAAATTGTTAAATTTTAAATGAAAATTTAACAAGACCTCTTTTGCACATGCTTGTATTCAAGAGGTAATGATTTCAGTTTTTACTACCTATAAGGCAATAAAGCTTAAATGCCCAACATGTTACCAGATTGTCAGTAACTAGAAGTTCACCTTTTGATATGCAGAACAGGTATCAATTATATTAGTTACCACTGACATTAAACAGTTTTGAGCTCTCAGTGTTTTAGGAATTGTTCCCCTTTATGATTCCCATTGTTAAAAAAGAATTGCTCCCCTTTTTCTACCATTTTCATATTTCCTCTTACCAAATACTATGCATTTCTCCAATTCTAATGAAAATTAGAAGGCAGAAAAACATATCACAGTGCAAAATATCAGAAAAAAATAATAATCTTCAGTATTGTCTAAATGATGGTGAACCTTAGATTAAATCACTGATGTTTCTGACAATTTACACTTTTCTTGAACATTACAAGTGATCGCTTATTAACTAAGCCATGCACCAAATACAAACTAAGAACCCACATTAATCCATATGATTCACACGAGATCTTGAACTTTCCTTTTGCCCTCCCCTTCTCACCAATTCAAACTGTTCCCTGGATTCTGCAAAAAGGATGAAAAAAACAAACCACCACCACCACCAAAAAAAACCCAAGCCCAAACCAATCATGAAGACAAACAAATTCTGTGGGGAAAAAAGTGTAATACCTATTAGGTATTACATTAGAAGGTATTACATTTACTATTAGGACAATGTTTAAAATGAATAACCTGCAATTTCTTTTTCTTACCAGTGTAACTCAAAATGTGACTGCCATGTCCTGACCCAAAACCCATCAAGACAGAGACCTGCATCTTAGATCTACATACAGATGATTCATATCTCCTTTATATATTAATTTAAATCCCTTTGAACTGGTAATCAGGCCATGGAGCAACCAATTACCACTGTAAACTGGGTCAGGAAGAGAAACAGATTTTCCTGCAACAAAACACAGTGTATTCACCAGGTTCCTGACATACTGTTGTTATACTCCGGCTTACAGTCAGTATATTCTTGTTGAATTAGGGTATTTATTAGCGTGCCCAGATTACTTCAAGTGAAAACAGTAACAGCCTTCTCAATGAACAAATTCATTAAAGACACTCTGATTATATTTTGGGTGGTTACTTTAATGTTTGGCATTTTTGTTATGTACAAGAACACACTACTTACCGTCATCTTCCAAATCCCCAAACTGAGAAAAATCAACAATTTTCTTGTTCCTGTGGCAAAAAAAACCCATACGCTTTTAAACCTTTCAGATTGAGCATCCTGGCTTGCTAACACTTGATTTTTGGGTAATCACGTTTTACAAGAAAAAAGCAACACATGTTCACATGGATGTATAACGAACCAGTGCTAGCGTATATAATATGGTTATTGGGAACAGCTTCTAGATTTTTAACAAATCTTAAAATAACGGCGCTTTTCGTTCTTCTTGTGGGAGCAGTGCATTCTCCTCCCGTCCACACCATCTCAGAGCTGCTACTGTGCAGCGGAAATTACTTATCTCCCGGGTCTCCTAGAAGTCTAAGCATTTGAAATATGTTTTCCGCGCACCTTCCAGGTCGTTTCCCGTGTAGCACTGCCGTCGCTGCAACGAGGCGCTATCCTTCCCAGCGGGAGGCACAGGCGGCGCTCCCAAACCCACCCCTTAGCACGGGGTCCCCTGCTCTTCGCGGGACACAGACAATCCTGCTGCTCACCCCGAGAAGAAGCCCCGCGCTTCCTTTCATCTGGAAGGGAAAAGGGCGCAGGCCTGTCTCCAAGACCCAACATTAGAACGGGCCACGGAGCGGCTCGGTGTGGAGGCGCAGGGCTCCGGCGGGGCCCGGGACC